ACTTCTATTCTGAGAGACAGGAAAAAGAGCAGATTCACATTCACTTAGATTCTAGATTCAAAAGTCAGACCTGTAAAAACGCGTCCTTAGACTCAAATTCGTCTTCGGTTTTGTTTCGGCACTACACATACTCTTACGTCCTCTGTCTTATTTTTTTTTGGGGACAAAAATAAAAATTTAGAATCAGTGCTATTGTGCCATAATTGGACAATTAGGAGGAAGTCGCACAACCCATCCCAACCTACAGAGCAGGAGCCGCCTATCAACCGTTATATCTTGTTCATTTCTCGCATCCCAGGAATCACCAGTAAGTTACATTTTCTTTGCTTACTAACTCTTTACTCATATTCCTTCCTTTTTTTTTTATTTATTATTTCCTCCTTCTTTCACTTCTCATACACACACACATACACATACAGTCATTCAACAATTATATTAAACCGCGCCGTAATTCATTTTGTTATTATACTCATTTTTAATAAATCTGTTTATATTTCATTTTTTTTCCAATTGATTTCAAAATCACATATATTGGAAGGGATTTCAAAATCCCTTCCAATAGTCAACTCATGGTCCTATCCCCGGTAAAGGGATTCGCGTCCCTGACCGAAAAACGGACCGCTCGTCGTACGTCGATGCCCGAGTAAAGGGACCCGTCGGGTCCCTGACCCGTTCACTGACACGCGTGTACGAACGAGGTTCGCCTTACTCGCGAACGAAAGGGTTGCGTTCCTCCTCTAGGACGTAACATGTATATTTGATATTTTTAAATTGCAACCCCTTGTAGGGGTAGTAGATAGAGAAATGGGATTAAACTGCTCAAATTTCTGAAAATGGGTTTTGAAACATCAAAATTTTTTCTTGAGCATTCTTCACAATGTCTTCCATGTGCAATTCCTAAAATCTTTTTCACAAGACATAAATAATAATGATCAAAGATTATCAATCAACGAGTAAAGTCCTGTTTATGTACGTCCCTTTACGTGACACAGAATGATTGAATATTGCTCAGATATTGAAAATTGCTCAGGAATAAGTGTACCATCAAGTCCGCACTCACGTAAGAGAATATGTAGATATACGAATTGAAATGATCATTTCAAAACATTTATCAATTTGGAAAAATTAACAAAAAATTTTCAACTTTCCACCCCTAATAATATAATTGCACCCCTATAAAGAAGCAAAATGTGTATGGGATTAGAAAAAAATATTCCTCAAATTTCCAAAGAAAAATAATGTACGAAAAATACATATTTGACGGGAATATCAGTATTTTACCCTCTCTAATGATATTATTGCAACTTTCTGCAGCCTTTGCTGAGGGTTGTATGTGATGAATTATTATAAAACGCATGGTCGAAAGACTATAAATGCTGATTCATATACAACAATTTGTTTGCCAGAAGTCATTAATGAATTGCGTAGAACAAATCGAAATTATATCGCATCATTCTTCACCATGACAATGCCAGCTATCACTCAGCAAGTCAAATCGTTGATTTTTTACCCAGTAAAAATGTCGAATTGATGACTCATTGACCATATTCACCTGATTTATCATTTAACAACTTCTTTTTGTTTCCAAACATCAAACATAAGATGGTGAGTGATTTGTATCGCCTGAAGCAGCTGTTGAAGCATTCTGAACACTGATTTCTGATGTTACAGCCTCAGAGTGGAAAAATGCTTCGAAAATTGGTTCGAGTGTATACAAAAGTATATCGATCTTAACCCCTTCCGTGACAGAGCAAAATTCAGTAAAATGCACTGAAACTGCCCCAAAAAAATGACGGAGCGGATTTTTTCAATAATTTCTATACTTCAGTTTTTTTGGTCGCTGAAGCCGAATTTGAGGTCAAAATATAGAAATTCAAAATGGCGGATCGAATATGGCAACTAAAATGTTTAGAAATACTTAATATTATAAATAAAAGTAATTGGTCATTTCTCAAGTCACTAAATTAATGATTTTTACATAAAATCGTTCTTAACGCTCTTGCTGCTCGCTGCGAACTGACTCGCTCGCTGCTCGCTCTTCGTCGTACATTCTTTGTTTTTTGGTACCACCAAACACTCGGATTCTTTTAGGCGCTGCGGTCAAACAACGCTGAACGTCGCGCGAAATCCATTAATGACGCCGCTGCCCTGTTTTAACGACGCCGATTCCTCCATCGGACGCCGCGGTCTCTCCTCAGTTTCTTCCTCTCACCCTTTCTCACTCTCACACATCCCATGTGTGAAAAAAAAATTTATAATTTTCCAACATTTTAATTTGATTATAGCTTTTTATTAACAAATTATAAAAACCTAAGTTGAAATTCGTAATCAACAACCCAAAAAATACTTGATAAAAATCCTACAACAATAGTTATTACACTTAAAATTCAATACAACACGAAAATGATCTGGACGCACCGGTGCGTCCGTGCCACTTATGGCACGGTTTTGATTGGACGTACCGGTGCGTCCGTGCCACGGAAGGGGTTAAAGGCGAATACTTTGAAAAACAATAAAGCCATTTACCGAATTTTACATGTTTTTTCATATCGTTTGCAGAAACTTTTCCAGCAACCTACGTATATGAGATTAATTGTTACAAATGCTGTCGCTTTATATTTTTCATTGATGCAACAAAGTTAATAAAAATATTCAATCGAAAAAATAATTTTTGTGTTGTATAAGCATGTACCTATTAAAAAATTCTCATGTCGCTTATATTCCATTTGTTACTTACGCTTAAAAAATTCATTAAAAAAACTATAAACTAGGCCCGGTCTCACCTACGAGGGTGGTCCGATAAGTACTTAGCCTACAAAAGAAAAACGAAAATTTTGGAAAAATGGCGATTTATTTCTCAACATAGTCTCCTTTTAGCTCGATACACTTGACCCAGCGATGCTCCAACTTCTTTAACCCGTCTGAAAAATATGTTTTCTCGAGGTCTGCAAAGTAGGCCTCCGTGGCGGCGATGACCTCCTCATTCGACTCAAATTTCTGCCCGGCGAGTGACTTTTTCAAGTTTGGAAACAAAAAGAAGTCGTACGGGGCCAAATCTGGAGAATACGGTGGATGGGGCAGCAATTCGTAGCCCAATTCGACCAATTTGACCGTGGCGAGGGCGGAGGTGTGAGCCAGTGCGTTGTCATGGTGGAAGAGCACTTTTTTCTTCGCCAAATGGGGCCGTTTTTTCTGCAATTCGGCGTCGAATCGGCCCAATAATTCGGCATAGTACAGCCCTGTGACCGTTTTGCCCTTCTCCAGGTAATCGATCACACCTTGTGAATCCCAGAAAACGCTGACCAACACCTTTCCGGCCGATAGGACAGTCTTCGCCTTCTTCGAAGCACGTTCGCCGGGTGAAGTCCACTGTTTCGACTGTTCCTTGGTCTCTGGTGTGTACCAGTGGATCCATGTTTCGTCGACGGTCACGAAACGACGCAGAAACTCCTTCGGATTGCGCTTAAACAGCGTCAAACACTGCTCTGAAGTGGTCTCACGGTTGCGCTTGTTGTCCGGAATGAGCAAACGCGGCACCCATCGCGCCGACAGCTTTCTCATGCCCAAAATTTCATGCAGGATATGACCCACGCGGTCTTTTGAGATGCCTACTGTCTCAGCTATCTCGCGCATCTTCAATCGGCGGTCTGCCAATACGAGATCGTGGATTTTTGTCATGTTATCCTCCGTGGTAGCCGTTTTCGGGGCACCTGGGCGTGGCTCATCAAAAACCGACGTGCGACCACGTTGAAACTCGTTAAACCAATTTTTGACGGTCGCCATCGAAGGAGAAGAGTCACCGTACACAGCATCCAAGCGCTCTTTGATTTCGCTGCGCGATTTCCCTTCCAAAAACAAGAATCGAATCACCGACCGATATTGCTCTTTTTCCATTTTTCTAAAATCCGCGGACAAGTCCGCTTCCACACGCGGTCAAAACAAAACTACGAGTCCGATTCGGCTGAAATTTCGACAGTAGCCGTCTACGATAATGTACTACACGATAGTAAATTTCTCTTGCGATAGTGGCGCCATCGGGCGGTGAGGCTAAGTATTTATCGGACCGCCCTCGTACTTCAACTGCGAGAAAACTTGTGAGTGCGTCATGTAGCGAGACTCTATCTTTCAATTTGAGTAATTTCCTCGGTAATTGAATTGCTTCGAAGACTTGGTCAGTGATTAATAGGGAACGTATTTTCGGGGTGTTTTATAAAGGATCCCTCCCTCTCCCCATAAATGAAATAGATGAATAGTTGATTGTTCATTCTCTGAACAATGAATCGTAAATTATCCATTCGACAGAAAATATCTTCAATATTGGTGTGAACGTGAACTTCAGCCACGCATTCTTCCTTATGCAATATACCCTGACTATAAATCATCACTTTCACCCCTTTATATCTCCGGAACCGTGCCTATGCTCATTTTGAAATTTTACTAGGATTAATATTTCATCTAATAAAACTATTTGCCATGAAAAAGTTTGAAATTCTAAGTCCAAAAATTGAACGAAATTTGCTATTACTCTTTGATACAAAATTTTATATTGTGTATTTATAGTGTTAGACATTTTTATTACCTAGAATTTTTATTACCTGGATAAAAGTATCTTGCTTCATAATATTAACTCAAAATATATTGTAATTGTTTCTTCATTTATCCATTCATTATATATTTATCATTATATCTATACAAAGATTGAACGATTGATGCTAAAATCATTGCTGCGTTATTCAAGTTATCACCGTTATTACAAATGCCAATATATTCTCAACGTCCATTTATTACTTCCGCAAAATCCCTCCTTTTTTATCCGGCGATATGTCATGATAACATTTTATATTTCACTCCTATTTTTTTTGGAACCTTCTTGCGGAGAAAAACATTTTATACGTCGTAACGTCCTCCGTGTCGATGCGGGGTAAATATATACTATATCAAGTCCGCGCATACCGATAATGGAAACATACCAAACCGTATTCCATTTATTCTAGATACCAGCGGCTAGATACCAGATATGTTGCGTATAGACTGGTTATACTATAGCGCTGCTTCCGTCGCCAATAACTTTGCTATTTCGGGCCGTCTAATTTGGGTCTGGTGACGCTGTGCTTTTAACGGCAACGTTGATAGCAGAGAATCATCCAGCGCAGCACACTGCTACCATCGTCGCCATTGCCGCCACCGCCACCTCCACCATCCGTAATAATCACTAAAACGGTGAGTTCAGTGGTGACGAGACTGGCATTCAAGCAGTCTCCCGAAGGCACAAGTATTATTGCCGTACTACTGTCGCAAACGTTGGTTTTACAATTCTTAAAGGTAAACAGCCCTATGTGTCTATTCTTTAGTTCGTATCGCCGCTAGCAAGTTCTGCGTAATCCTTCTGTGAAAACTAGTGCGTTTTAAATATAATAGGCAACTAATCATGTTGCAATGTGTCGTTCGTCATATGATTTAACACAATTATTATTTACACAATTATTATTAACACTATTATTTATTATATTTTACCAATATTTATTCCTCAGTGTGTGTAAATAATTCGTTGCTTACAAATATTATTTTCATCTTATATATATATATATGTGTGTATGCGTGTCAGTGTCATGCAATTGCTAGATAAACACTTCTAACAATTTATTCTTTTAATGACAGAAAAGCAAATTGTATATATATTTCCAATTATATATTTTTGCTTGTATATTTTCGTTATGATTGCAATGTTTCCTGATTTATTACACACGTTTTATTTGTCTACTTTCGATATAAGAAGTAGAGGAGATTGAAAATTAACTCTTTAATTACGTATGTTCTAACAAAAATTCGCTATGGGTATGGAAAAATATTTGTATATTAATTGTTGAAACGTCGTTAAATAATTAAAATATAAAATGCGCATATAATTTACGCATGAAAACTGCAAATGAATTAAAAGGTAATGAAATTCGATATTGGTCACAAAATGCACATGACATAATAATAAAAGCAATATCTCATTTTATGTTAAAAATGTTAAAAATGAGCGAAATTTACTTAACGTATATATGTATATATATATACAGGGTGTCCCATTAAAAAAAACACATCTCGATAATTCTTCAACAAAGTATTTTCAGCAAAAATGTTTTGGAAATTTCAGAAGAATCAAATTAACAAAAGTCAGGGCGCTATTATAGCAATATATTCTTGAGACCAAATAGAGCAAAAAATTCTAGTATGACTTTTCCTTCCGACAAATAGTTAGCGAGATATCATGAATTAAATATTGAAACAGTTACGGAATGGCTAATTATTTCAAAACATAATGATTGTATAAAACAATGTTTGAAACAAAAGTTGTAGGGCTTAAAAAAAGCTGTCAGATATTGATAATTGTTTGACCTTGGAATGACCTTGAAAAACGTTATCAAGGTCATCATAAAAATCTTAAATGGGAACTTAAATTTTTTATTACACCCTCTTTTTCCACTAATTAATTTGAACAACTTTTGTCTGAAACATTTTTTTATTTGCCTAATATTTCTTGAGATATTTAAGGATAACTTGGTAACTTTTTCAATATTTAACTTACCATATTTCGCTAATTGTTTGTCGGGATAAAAAAAGGGTACTAGATTTTTTATTCTATTTAGTCTCAAGAATATATTGTTACAATAGCGCCCTAACTTTTGTTAATTTGATGATTTTGAAATTTCGAAAGATTGATAAATTAACAAAAAATAGAGCATTTTTTTATCTCGACAAACAGTTAGCGAAATATGGTAAGTTAAATATTGAAAAAGTTACCAAGTTATCCTTAAATATCTCAAAAAATATTAGGCAAATAAAAAAATGTTTCAGATAAAAGTTGTTCAAATTAATTGGTGGAAAAAGACAGTGTAATAAAAGATTGGAGTTTCTATTTAAAATTTTTATGTCGACCTTCATAACATTTCTCAAGATCATTCTAAGGTCAAACAATTATCAATATCTGATACCTTTTTTAAGCCCTATAACTTTTGTTTTAAACATTATTTTAAACAATTATTTTTTTAAACAATTAGCCGTTCCGGAACTTTTGGCAGACCCTGTATATATATATATATATATGTGTGTGTGTGTGTCTTTGATAAATAAGCAGCTAGTCTTGAAGCTATGCATGCATGTACACGTGTGTCCTTTCTGCAGCCTTTTGGTTAAATCTCTCAACTATTAAAGTTAAAAGTTTTTCCCCTAAATATTTTTAGATATTATGTCAAAAATTGTTCTAATCACATAATTAACAGTAACAATATGAGTATAATTCTATATAGCTTGTATGAAACATCAGCTCCGAATCAAGACCATTTGCACATGAGAACGCGATCTATGGGAACCGCATTTTTATATCCGAAAATACGTGACCGTCGGGATGAGATGAGAATTCGACGGCGAAATCGTCAGCATGAGTTCATTAAAATATGTTTATAGTAATAAGAAGGTAAAGTGATAGTTGGCTGGTTGTCATATGGAGTAATTTACCAAAAGTAATGATACGATCGAAACATATAAGGACATCGAATGAATAGAAACAGGTCCTGAATACTCATGGTCCAAAGTATACAATGATCAAGTATACGTACATGAATATATGAAGCTAGTCAAAGTCAATTAAATTAATAAGATCGACTTTTCAATAAAAATCATTCTTTAGGCAAAAATAAATGTTAAATTCCTAAAATATCGATAATGTGGAAATAATTTTCTAAATGTTCCGTATCGATAAAGTATTTTAACACGATCATACTATTCTTTTCATATTTCTTGTTTATATAGTTCTTGTATAAATATGTATTACTCTGTTTTACTCTGTATTACTCTGTTTTATCATATTTACATTTAGGATGAAACCTAACCATGTAATAAAAATTTTTTACAGTTTTCTTATTCTAAGACCAGTGTTCATAACCGGATTTTATATTTTAGGCTGTTTTAAGTTCATCTTGAGATGCTGTACATATTATTTCATTGGGTACGGAGTATCTAAAGGTGAACTTAAGACGGTTTTAAATATAAGCCTCTTATGAATGCCAGTTTAAATATTCATAATTCTAGGTTTCTAAATTTAGTTATAAAGATATAAAAATATTTTGGAATGGGACTTTTTTTAAGCAAAATAAATACGTTTTTGATACATTTAAGCTATAAAACTTCTGTATAAAAAAATATCTTTACATTAAATGGCAGCTCAAGATGTTAATTTTGAAATTTTTAATCGTTTTCGTTACATATTAAACCATGCTTGATTTTTATTCATGCTTTTATGTTATGATTTTATATTAACAATTCTATTTAACTAAATAAAAATTATACAATCTATGAAAGCTGCATTCTATCGATATCTAGTATCTATCTTTAAGCTGAGATATCTATCGATATCTCAGCTTAAAGGGATGTCATATTTAAAAACTTTATCGAGTAGACATTTTCTACAATTTTATGTTGTAGAAAATTTATTGGTTGTATAAAATTATAAATATTTCTACATAACAAAAGTACATGCAAAAATGAATTAGAATATTAAAAAATATTAGTTGAGTGAGGGAGAGATATCTCAATAAAAAATATAACTTGACATCTCGGATTGTTAATTAATATACGACTTGCCTAATATAATTGTTCCACATATTATATAAACCAAATGTATATTTGTCCAGATTAGGTTAAACTGATTTTAAATGATGTCAAATCAATGATTAATCTTTAGCTTCATATCCTGATCTTGAAACAAAAGAGGTTCTGTGAATCTTTTCTTTTTCTTTCTTACTAAAAAAAGTTTGAATAACGATTGAAATAGTTAAAAGAACAAGTGGATAATATTATTTTTAAATAATTTTTATTTGTAGTAAAAAATTTTCGCTGTTGGCATCTAGCACGTACTCTAATCCTTTTTTTATACTATTGATTGCGAATCTAGAGCCTTGGTAGTTTTAAAAATTTCTATATATCAGTGATTAGTTCTTCACTCAAATAATGTAAAACACAACACAGCAACACAACAGATATTTATATGAAATCTCTATAAACAAGAAGTATGGAAAGAGTAACGAAAGAGTACGAACATGAAGAGAGAAAAATTGAAGAGAGAAAAAGAGACGCAAGAAGGAAAGAAATCAAGTAAATAGGAAGCAGAGAGAGAGATAGGGAAGGTTGGAAAGTATGAAAAGCAACAGAGAGGGGAAGTAGAATACAATATGGGAAGAGGTAGAAAGAAAGAAGAGATGTGAGAAGGGGCTGAGAGAGAAGAAGAAAAGATTAAAGAGAGGATGGAGTATCAAAAGGGGAAGAGGAAGTGGATAATAGAGAAAAGAAAAAGAGGAAGAATGAAGATGAGAGAAGGAGAGATATGGAAAGAGGGCGCTTATTTAATTTAATGTTATAGTGATTGTCTCTATGTTGTATATTGGATAAATGCAAAAGTTCATATCCACTTTTTCAATAAAAATCATCTGGTGATTTATTGGGGACTTGAATAAGTTCTCGCTGTTTCTCGACAGATGATGTTATCTTAGCCTTTTTGCATCGGGCAATACAACAGCCAACTTCATCGTGAAGCTCCACCATTAGGCTTGAAGTATATGTTATTCCGCCGAAAAGTAAGCAACATATTTTTTCATAGCGTTAAACATGTCGAATTTCGTGCCAAAAAAAAAAGTATTTGCGGGGAATTTGACTGCATTACTTTTTTCAAAAAAAATCTGCAGCTGAAGCACATAGAATTCTTGTGGAGACTTACAGCGACCATGCTCTGTTGAAAACATGCAGAGATTGGTTTAGACGCTTTAAAAATAATGATTTTGATGTTGAAGATAAAGAATGCTCTGGCGCACCGAAAAAGTTTGAAGACGAAGAATTGGAAGCATTACTCGATGAAGACCCATGTTAGACGCAAAATGAACTTGCAGAATCATTAGGAGTTGATCACACAATAGTTGCCAAACGTTTAAAAGCATTAGGAATGATTCAAAAGCAAGGAAATTTGGTGCTGTACGAATTGAAGCCGAGAGACGTCGAACGGCGTTTTTTCACGTGTGAACAGCTGCTCCAACGGCAGAAAAGGAAAGGTTTTTTGCATCGTATCGTGACTGGCGATGAAAAGTGGATACACTACGATAACCCGAAGCGTAGAAAATCGTGGAGTAAGCCCGGCCATGCATCAACATCGACGGCAAAGCCGAATATCCATGGTTCCAAGCTCATGCTCTGTATTTAGCGGATCAGCTGGGTGTAATATATTATGAGCTCCTCAAACTCAACGAAACCATCACGGGAGATCGCTATCGACTACAATTGATGCGTTTGAGCCGAGCATTGAAGAAAAAATGGCTGCAATACGAGGAGAGACACGACAAAGTAATTTTGCAGCATGACAACGCTCAGCCACATGTTGCAAAACCGGTCAAAACCTACTTGGAAACGCTCAAATGGGAAGTCCTATCCCACCCGCCGTATTCACCGGACATTGTTCCTTCCGATTACCATTTGTTCCGATCGATAACTCATGGCCTGGCTGAGCAGCACTTCCATTCTTATGAAGATGCCAAAAAATGGGTCGATTCGTGGATAACCTCAAAAGATGAATCGTTCTTTCGACATGGTATTCGTATGCTGCCAGAAAGATGGGAGAAAGTAGTGGCTAGCGATGGACAATACTTTCAATGACATGTTCTTTACTAATTTTTTTAAACAAACCATTTATTTTCACGAAAAAACAACGAGAACTTATTCAAGTCTCCAACAGCATACAAAATATCTTTACCTAATTTACTAAGTATTTTCCATTGTTCTCTATATTCGTTTTCCAATGTTCTGACAACATATGGATGCTATGGTCGTAAAATATAAAGAGTTAAAGAGCATGTTAAAGAACTCCAAAACGTTATTTTCAAGGCTTTGAAAAATAAAAATTATTTTCATTTAAACTGTTCTGTAATAACCAGAACAGTAATAGTCTAACAATGCGATGTATCAGAAAAATAATAAAAAAATGATAAAGGAAAATGCAATAAAATGTCCCAATTTAGTTTTCTCAATTTGTGTTTGCATTGAAACGTGAAGTTTCGTAATGTTGGACGTTGTAATGAAAGACCTTTCCATTGGCCAAAGTCGGACGTTTTTCTTAGATTGCTGTCTTCAAATTAACTAGTTATTAATAATATTTGTTGAAATTAATCGTTTCACCAATAGGGAGTAATTTAAAAAAGGATTATGTCTTTGCAATTCTACCAAACAGATAACACTTTTTAACGGTGCAAGTCAAGTTTCAGAATTGTATGTATGTGTGCATGCGTGGGTACGTGCGCGCGCGCACGCGTGTGTGTGGCTGACTGAGTTTATTTCTTTTTAGTCGAGATCGTTTGCATCGAACATCATCATATAAGATCTATTTTTCATCGACGGACACTAATTAATTCAGAAATAAATTCTTTTTTAGTCGACCAAGTAATAAAACTGTTACGAAAATTCGGTCAATTTTGTTATTTTCAATGAAAACATATAATATTTAAACATCAAGTTTTACGTTAAGATTTAATTCTTTTCAATTATCGAAATATTGTTAATGTTCTCTGCACCTTCTTCTGTTGAAATTTGTGGATTGCTATTTACTAAATTACTCACAATATCGTTATCAGTAGTTGGAGGTCATTCAAATCGTATTTCATTTTCCAGATTAAAATCATCATATCTAAATTTTAAAACTATTTCTTTACAGTTCTTGTACAAATGACATGTAATCCTAATAAACTTCCGGAATGTTTTTTACTGCATTTCTACTTTCTATTTTTTCAAATTCATAAAGCATAATATATTAATAAGCATAATATAATAGCATAATATATCTAAACTGAACCTTTCCTTCCCTTATATTCAATAATCTTCCTCAAAAATTAAAAGCAATAAAAACCAGCTAGTTACATATTTGTATGATTGCTGGAAACTCTCTTTTCAGAAATATACACTGCTCAAAAGAATTATGGCATAGATAATTTATTGCCGAAAATTGGCAAACGTTGATTGGCTATTACTTCGCAAAAATTATTGTAGACTAACGATTTTTTTTTCAAAATAAAGCTTGAAGTCTCTATTCTAAGAATGTATCTCCATTTTTTGCATACGATGCACCCTTACCCCTGTAATCCCTGACATCTGAGGGCATGTTTGGTATACTGAAAATTGCAAAGTTTGACGAAATACACGAACATGGACAATTTTTTTTCAGGCACGCCGTTTGCATCGTCATAAAGTTCAAATCTTCCCCTTTAATTTGAAAAAAAATGGAGTCGCTAAAATTTTTTTTCGCAAAGTTACAGCCCTCCAAAAATATAGGTTAAGAAATTTGGCAAGACAACCTGTCAATTTGAATGACCTATCGCAGATCCTAGTTCAAATCTGGAATGACATTTCGCAGGAAGAAATTAGTGCCTGCATTAACATGAGGGACCAGCTACAAGAAGTGATCCGGCAGCGTGGAGGAAACACGAAATATTGAAGACGCACCTATATGCACACACACACACACATACGCGCGCGCGCCCACGTGCATAGAAGGGAGGATTTGGAGTAAATAATTACTGTGGAAGTGACGAACCACGGAGTCCTTATCTCTTTTGTCACGGACACACACACACATGCGTGCACACTTGGCTCGAAGGCCAAAAACAACGATATTTTAGAAGGGCTGTAACTTTGCGAAAAAAATTGTAGCAACTCAATTTTTTTCAAACTGAAGGGGAAGATTTGGACTTCATGACGATATGAACGGTGTCTCCGAAAAAATATTGTCCACGTCCGTGCATTCCGTCAAACTTTGCAATTTTCAATATATCAAACATGCCCTCAGGTGTCAGGGGTTACACGGGTAGAGGTGCATCATATGTAAAAAATGGAGATACCAGGTATGTAAATATGAAACCAGAATTTTTGTATAGAAAATACACGTTTATTGTATGAAAATAATAAAATATATTTTATTCGAAGTATTGCCCATCGCTAGCTATACATTTTTCCCACCTGTCTGACAATTTGTGGATGCCATGCCAAAAAACTGTTGCTCTTTTGAGGCAAACCAGTCATCGAGCCATTTTCGTACATTTTCGTAAGAAATGAAGTGCTGCTCAGCAAGTGCGTGTCCCATCGATGCAAATAAGTAGTAATCCGACGGAGCCAAGTCTAGTGAGTAAGCCGCATGCGAAAGTATTTCTCAACTAAACGCCTCAATCGTTTCCTTGACCAGTTTTGTTGTGTGTGATGGTGCATTATCATGAAGCAACATCACTTTGTGTTGCCTTTTTTCATATTCTGGTCGTTTTTCACGCAAAGCTTGATTCAAATCGATCATTTGTTGTCGGTAGTGTTCAGTATTAACGATTTCGCAAGGTTTTAGCAGCTCATAATAGATCATCTTTCTGATCCCACCAAACATAGAGCATTGTCTTAGCATTGTCCATAGCGATTTGGCCTTGCAGTCGATATCGATGGTTCGCCTGGAGTTACCCATGATCTTTTACGCTTAGGATTCTCAAAATATATCCAATTTTCATCGCCAGTCACAATTCGATGGAGAAATGACTTTCTTTTGTACCTGGCGAGCAGCATTTCGCAAATGGTTTTTCGGTTTTCCAACAGTCTTTTATTCAGTTCATGTGGAACCCATTTTCCCATCTTCTGGATCTTTCCCATGGCTTTCAAACGTATGGAGACGGCTTCTCGTGTCATATTTAATTGATCCGCGAATTGTTGTTGCGTTTGAGCGTCATCCTCACCCAACAATGCTTGCAATTCGCTGTCTTCAAACTTTTTCGGTGGTCTTCCACGTTCTTCGTTTCTCACGTAAAAATCGCCACGTTGGAATTTTTTAAACCACTCAAAACACTGTGATTTACCAAGAGCGTGCTCACCATAAGCTTCGACAAGCATTTGATGCGATTCTGCAGCTGCAGTTTTCTTCAAATGGTAACAGAAAATCAATGCTGTTCGCAAATCGTAGCTTCCAGGCACAAAATTCGATATGTTCGCTACTACAAACGCTATTATTATATATACTATGCTGTTGTATAAAACTTGTATTGTTGTGAGTTGAAAATCTTTATCGGATGTCAACAAATGGAAATGGCGCCAGTGACGCGGTTTGACGGTAACTACATTGACAGCTAGGGCCATCTATGAGCAAATTCCGGTTTCATATTTACAGGCCTAGTACATTCTTAAAGGAGAGACTTCAAGCTTCATTTTGAATAAATAATTATTAGTCTACAATAATTTTTCGCGAAGTAATCGCCAGTCAAATTTGGCCAATTTTCGGCAATAAATTATCTATGCCATAATTCTTTTGAACAGTGTGTATTATATAAATTTTATTGAACAATATGACTATTATGAAACTTCAATAATGATATCTATTAAAATTGGGTATGAATATTTGCACTTACACAATATTATTGGTACTTTTAGAGTTCGTTATTAACATGGCGTCTGCTTAACCCTTATGTCAATATCCAAAATGTACAAAGTTGTTCTATACCAAGGGTACTCAGGTGCCCACCTACCTAATTCCTTAAAT